CAAGAGCATTCTGATTTACTGGTGCACTACAGCACTATTTCCCTACCTGAAGCAATATTTCATTCCCTCTCTGATATGAACACCTGTTAACTCTTATAAAGATTGAATAATTTGATTTCTTTTAGACTCTTTTAAACCCCAGAAAAACATCTGATGTCCATCAGCAAAGATTCATTACTGATGTGGTAGTTTTTTTGAGTTTTTGAGGAACATTACCAGTTAAGATGGGCAAACAATGTCCTAGGATACAGAACCTTGATAACAAATAGTAGCAGATACCAGTCTCCTAACATTACTTCTTATCTTCTCCTCTTCCCTTTCACAGGAGTGAAAACTGAAGTAAATGGATGTAAAACAGCAGACTTTCAACAAATTCTACAGGAGAGGCTGTTGTTAGGCAGTGAGAAATAAAGCGTTCTCTTGACAAAGTATATTTCATTGCAGATCTTCCACTCCTGAAGGTGTGTTGTTCCAGGGAAATTACTGAATTGCCTTAAAGCAAGCTCCATGTCCCTGCATCATCAGCCAGAAAAGCACTGGTGCTGCCAGTCAGAAGGAATGTGCTCACTTTTTATTCTAGATGCAGAAGAGAAGGCTCCTTGTGCTCTCCTCTTCAAGAGTAAGGTCACTGGGATAGCCTGCAAGACAGAAAAACATCAAAGAGAACAGTTTGCTTGGTTTTGCTTCAGAACAGAGGAAAATCAGCTTTCCCAGCCAGGGCTTCTCTACTCCAGAGCTGTAAGTGTAATTTTAAAAGGCCCAAAAACCCCACCACAATCCAGTGAAAAACATTGACTAGCTGTGCCTGGATGTGGCATTGATAAGTGAGACACTGTGCTCACCTGCACATGGGCAAGAGGAGCTCATGAGCCAGGAAGGCACAGTGTAGACTGCTCAAGTACTCCAGGAGGGAATTCCTGTGGCAGTTTTATAAAGGAGGAGAGCCTCTGTCTCAAGGGTGGGAATCAATCCTAATGTGGAGGACCACTTCCCTGTGCAGCTATAACCTACCTGTTATTCCTCTCAAACTCCTCTATGATGCAGGTAGGTGAAACTTTGGTGTTAAAATGGGCCCAGAGCAGCGCTGTGAGCTCTTAAATGGCTACACCCAAACACAAACCACAGGACGGACCTTCAGACAAGACCCCTCATCCTTTGTCCTTCCAGGCAGATCTCTTCCTTTGCCTCCCTCTGACTAGCAGTTTCTAACAATCTCCTGTGACTTTCCTCATTCTCTGTCACAGCTCTGCAGAGATGTTCTTCCCCTGCCATCACATCGGTGTTTTCCAGGAGGTCTGAGGCTGTCCTGTGCCCTTTGCACTCTCACAGCAGCACAAAGGACTGGCTGCCACCCAGGCAATATAACCCAGGAGAAGGAACCTGTGGTGCAGAACAGAACACAGACATCCACCTGGGAGTGTCCATCCAGGACAGGCCCAGCTTTCTCCAGGCACAGCTAAGGCAGAGTGTTCTGGGGAAGGAGCAGCAAAAGTGCCCCAAGTGCCCCAACACCCACCAAGGCCACAGCTGCTGGCAGGGGCTGCAAGAGCTTCAGCTACAAAGCCACGCAGGGAAATCAAGTACATAGCCCCAAAAGCAGCACTCTTATTTGAATTAGAAAACAATAATGTAAATAAAGTTATATCAGTATGCACATTTCCTGGGAGAATTTTCTCTCTAGAGCTCAATGTCTATTAGCCTTCAGCCAAAATAAAGGTCACCAGACAGAAGATTCTTTCTTTTTTCCTTTAACAAAGAATGTAATCCAGTCTGACGCCTTCAGACTGGGGAATTAATTTTTTAATTGGGAGCTGTAACTAAAACGCTGTTATCATAGAAACAATGCTAGGGTTTTAAGTTTACTTATTTAAAGCAAGATCAGGCATTTTGAAGTGGTTTCAGGTGAAGGGGACACCATTTAACCAGGGGGCTGTGGACAGAGTATGCAATTTTCAGATTAGCCTTTTAGTCTTTCATCCAAAATTTAGCCTGTCTCTGGGTATTTTTGATGCTGTCAGGTTGGGGGAACCCAGCCTTAATACATTTGCTAATTACAGGTGTATGTTCCCCTAATGGGCCCTAACCCACGTAAATGTGCTGACACTCCTGCAAACGTGATGGAGCCCTCGGTAAAGCAGCACAGCATAGAAAACCCCAAACTCAACCCAATCAAATACTTAAAGCTTTATTTTTGGTTAGCACAGATGCAAGGTACCAAACTTAGAGAGAGCAGGCAGTCTGCAAATTAGTAAGATTACTTGTTCAGGGATTTTAGAGGAATTTGGCAAAAATAACTGACATTTGGTCCATTCCGACTTAAAATGTCATTTGATGTAATAATATTTGGCAGTTCTTTAAATCTTTCTAGAAAAAACAAATTCTAACTTCAAATCACACCTTAAATTAAATTTCAATTCCCTAACTATAATTATGAATTTTTAATTTTATACTGATGAAGTCTCCAATCTGCACAATTCCTAATTCTGTAATTCACCCAAGCCAGAAATTCAAATAATAACATTTTATATCCCTGCAAATGCCCAAGACAGTACAAAGCATGGTTCCTAGCATAAACTGTTGCAAACATATCAGGAATATGTTCAAATAAAATTCATAAATAATATTAACTACATAAAATACAGAATGTCTCAATCTGTTGCAGGAAACTTTGAAAGCAGAAGAGGTTACATTCAATGAATGTTTTGTTCATTAAAAAGTATTCACACCAGCCTAATCAAAAGTTTGGCTTTTGCATCCCCCTTTTCCTTTTCCAGCTGTCAAGTTCTGGTCTGAACACCACATTTGTTGACTTCTTCTGCCAAAGTCTTGTTTAGTTTATGGATTCACAACTGGACAGAAGGAAAAAGGGAGGCCTGAGACAGGCCGAAAGATAGACAAGAGCAGAGTTGAATAAAGCCAGATCAGGTGAAAAGGAAATGAGATCTGGAAAAAATCAAAAGGCAGGAGGCCTAGGGAAGGACAAGAGCACATATGGGAGAGGATTTGCAGATTGAAGGATATAATAATGGGGACCGGCAGCTAAGAGACAATGAAACCAGCAAACAGATGGAAAGAAAAAGGACAAGGAAAGAGAAATAAAGTTCAGAAGTGCCAGAAATAGAGCAGGAGCTATTTAACAGCAAATCAGGCAGACAGAAGGAAGGAAAGAGACAGAATGGAAAAGATTTGACTTTAAAAAAGCCCTTATATTAAAATCTTTATCACACTGGGTTCTACAGCAGAAAGATATATTTCTATTTTTTTCCAAGAAAGTCCAATATTTGGAACAGTTTTAATGCAAAGGTAGAACTAATTAAAAAAGGAGTGTATGACTGAACTTTTAGTCCTAATAGTAACCATACATATTTTAAGTAGTCCTACAAGTATTAACTGGATCCTTCAGAGCTGTCCTCTCTGTTTCTCTGTATATAAACAGAAAGAATTCCATAAGGCAAATAAACACCTCTTGCCATCTGCTGAGAAGCAAGCACTAAGAGTCTTTACGAGTTCATTTTAATGAAAAACTTTTCAGATATGCCTGGTATGTAACATGATCCATCAATGTTTCGGTTTCACAGCCCTTATTAAGATAGTCACATACAAAATGTGGCAGATTCTCTGCTTTCCAAGAATGATACATTAATTACAGAACACTTTAAAAATGCATAATAATTTCTATAAACCTTACTTAAAATACCTTGGCAGTTAATATGGACCAATGTATATGCATATAAATATAAAACCTCCCATATTTCAAAAATTTACAGATTGTAATAGCTATTTTAGATTTTTTTTTTTACATAAATATGGTACATGCTAAGATATTTTAAAAACACATAGATTAAACCGTATGGGTTATTCCATTTTGTTTGTTCTTGTTACTACCAAGGAAATACATATTTAGATGAAAAAAGCAACCAGTGGGAAATATTACTGATTGTTTGCACAGAAAGACTTTAATCTCATATTTCTTGCCATTGACTCAAAGAAGACTGGATAATCTCTGAAAACAAATGCAGATAAATAATAATTGCACTGATAGCTCAGTTTCTTTCCTGAATATAAAGGTACAGCACAGGCCTTCGTCCTGCAAGCAACAGAAGAACATTTATATGTGCCCTTATCTCCTAAAAATCAGCAAAGGCCCTTCACCCAGGAATGTCAGAACAGCACAGAAAGTCTGATTTGTCTCAGGAAAATCACTTTACCTGAAGGGAACTGAAAGTCCTTTTCCATATCCCAAGGAACGCTCATGCACAACTGTAGTACTTCTGTATCCACTAAAATAAAATGGGATTGTCCTTCCTTCTCCTTTCCTGGAAAGGAAAAAATTATTCTTTTCATCTGAGAAGGGCAACACCCTCCAGAAATGAAAGTTCCTCTGTGAGGGGGCTTACACAGGTACAGCTGGACCTGGCACACTCGTTACAATCATCACACCATTAACTGTGTCACTGGTACCCAATTTCTCAGGAGTTTGGGCATGAGGCACCTAAAAGTTGATAGACAAGCACCTCTTATACACAGCCAAGAATATTTCAGATATAAAGAAATGGTTAAAGATTTAAGCAGTGTTATACCTGTTTGATAAATCACATCATTTTCTTAAATAAAAATGGCCATGGCATATGTACCATACAAGTCAACTCCTTTCTTTATTTGGGTTCTTTGTTGGATTTTAGGTTCTGGGAGTAGGGTATATTTTTATGGATATTTTGCTTAAAATAAAGCCCCAGGTCAATCTTGGTGTAATTATTTTACCTAGTCAAATTATAAACTCCTGAAAAAAAGTGTTTTTAATGGAAAGGCTGACAACCCCTTCAGTGAACTGCTGTGAATGATGGCACCTTGATCAGAGTTGGAGAAAATGTTCAATGTGATATAAGCTACTGAACTAAGTTGTAAAATGACAAGGACTGAGTGAACAGTTTTTAATACAGATAATATTGTTCATGCAGTCTATAAATATAGAATTAAATGTTGACCTCTATCTCCCATGTCAAAAGTCAAAGTCAGTGTCAGCACATATTGTTTTTATTTGTTTCAAGAGAAAAATAGATCAACAACATTAACCTCACAATGAACAGAGAATTGAATGAATTAAAAAGCAGTACCCCATAAATCCCCTTCCTTTTATTGGCACAGTGATAAAAATGCCTAGGGCTTAGAGGAAAAGGGTAGTCTCAGACACTCATCTGAGCTGCTCTATGTACACAGAGCTGTACATCACATGCTAAAACAGAGGAACAGAGATATTAAGATTTGTACAGTCTCATATAATACACAATATCCATCAAATTGCATCATAGCATCCAGCAAAACAGGGCATGTCAGATATCCCTAAGACAAGTAGATTATCACTAGACTACTTTAAAGCAACTTTAGCCTTCCACCTACCTTTGAAAAATGCATTTCACAAAAGATGCTAAATACACAAAAAGAAGACTTTATTCAATACTGTCCATACTTGCAGTTTAGCAATATTTTAGTACATCACCTGGAAGAAACTCCATTGTGCTTAGAGAGTTAGCAGCTTCACTGCTCAGGTAGCTCTTTAAACCATTGGCTCATTCACATAGGACTGAGGGACATGACATTTTTCTCCTGTTTAAAAGGTAATTTTTTTCAAAACGCCTCATAATAATAAAGGCCTCTTATTTCACAACGCCCATAGTAAATTTGACAGTTAACTAAAATGAGCAGTTTCAATTGCAAATTCAGTTTAATTGCAATTTTTAGTGCTGCATAATTAAACTGAAAATGTTCTAAAAAGATTCACACAATCAAAACTAGAACAGAAACAAAAGCATTTTCACAACATTGGTTTAGGGTTTTCTAATCAATTTCTAGAGAAACTGACAAAAAGTAACATTTAAAAACAAATCCATTTAACAAAAGAAAAGGAATGGTATCATCTGAAAAATTCAGCTGTTAGTTTTTGTTTACATTTTCTTATCCTCTTGCAGCTTGTAGGATATACACAAATTCTTTTGGTTTACTGCTCCAGTGATTATCTGCTGGCAATGTTGCATCATGTGAAAAACATTTTACAGCATTTGCACTGTGTACTAAACACACAAAAGCAACTAATTACAATGTTTGTCAAATCTGGAGTGTGTTCTGTGGATGCTTACTGGAACCAAATGCCATTTTTCTTCTTGAAATGGGCTGACTGACTTTGAGTTTCACCAATAAAGTGGAGTGAAAGGCTTGGAGTGAAATCTTGACTTATACACACTGCTGAAGGCTGGTATGCTGAAGCTATTCTATATCTTGGTGAGAAAAGCCTTCTCAGGCTTGAACATTCACAGGGCTTGAAAGAATTTTACAGCTGGCTATAAAGAGCAACTTTTCTGCTCCACATGTATTCATGCAGCTTCTGGGCAGAACCAGTCATGGTGCTTTTCATAGCTGGATGATCAGAAGACTTCTCTATAACTTCTAGTAAAGAAGGAAAGACATGTATTTTATTATACTAAAGGATTATTGGTGTGTAGGGCAATACTGAAGAGCTGTATAAAGCAAATCACTGATGGCCTTGCTAAGCCTGTAAACTCAGTCACAGCTTCACACAGACAAATAATGTCCAAGCAGGGAGGGTACTTTCTAAGACACATGGCTGATAAAATTAATTTCCACCTTGGTTTTAAAAACTGCTTGTGATTTGAAGAATGGTCTGCTGCATGATGAATGTGTTTCAAGAACATAAAAAAAGAAATATAATAATTTGTTCCTGTTTTTATTATTTGAGTCCTTATCTCATTAAGCCAATTTTCATATCAGAAATGTTAAAATTTTGGAAGTTTAAGGTTTAGCTGCTATAGCAGTCAAGTAACAGAAGCATCAGCTCTCCAGCAGGAATAATATGTGCATTTATGGTTGGTGATGGTTCTCCACTGAGATATAAAATTTGAGTTTTTCATTCTGACCTGTGCCAAGGGGCCCAGCAGCAGTCTGGCAGCATGGACAGAGGCCAGTCTGCACCAGAGACTACCAGGATGGACAGCAGAGATGAATCTTTTTAAAAAGAGACTGGAAAAGAGTCAGAGCTACAGCAGCTGGATCTTCAGGAATATCCCTGCAGACTGCACTGACTGGAGCTCTCAGGCAGTCTCAGCAGCACAAGAAATGTTTGAATGATGCTGCAGCTTCCTCTCATTCCATAAGAGCCATCCTTTAACTTGAGCTTCTCTCAGTACACTGAGAGTTTTCTGAGGTTTGTTTTTCAAACAGAAATAAATTTATTGATTAAAAAAATATTCTGTTTTCCATATATTTATAGAAACAATGATCACCTTTGTTAAACAGGCAACCATATCGCTCAACATAATTCCAACACTAAAGACTCACAAAACACAGACAACTCAAAATATTAACAGATTCAAGCATATGAACAGGAAATACAAAAATGATTGACAGTCGATAACTAAGTGATAAATATACTAAGTTTATTTGTAAATAACAGTATCCCAACTCATAATTATTTACATTTTCAGAAATTCAGCAATCAAGCCTGTAATACCAATTTCCTGTTTGCCATTTTCTCTCACAGTTTGAAAGCTTTCTTATGTTTGTACAATTGAGAAAATTCTTCAGCATCACCTAAGAAGTTTGGCATCAAACCTAGCATGATAGTTTAGCAGATATATTAACTGAGATAAATGAATTAGCTCAAGTCCTGCTGTAGATACTGTTATAGATTACACATATTTATATGTTAGGAGTGTGTACAGTAATCAGCACTTCTCAGTCAGTTTTGGAAAATGTAGATATCTACACAAAAACATGGCATTAAAAAACTCACACTGGATTTTTTTCTAACAAACCTTTGGTGTTAAATGACAACTCTAGATTTATCAAAATAATGAAGATGTGTTCAGCCTATGCCATGATCTCCTACTTTAGTTGAGTGAACTCAAAAAGAAGTAGTTGCTGTGTTTACTATTATTTATTATTATTATTACTATCATTATTTCAATAAGAGTGAAATGCAGATAAGTATTTGGCTAGTTGAAATTTTAGCATCAGCTCCAAAAATTTCACACATATTTAGCATACTGATTCCAGACATGGAAAAACAAATTAGCAGATAAGTATTGTCATAATCATTAGTTAAAATTCTCCGATACGAGCTAGTGTCAGCTCCCACTTTCAGAGCCAAGGAAAATATTCATAAGCTTTTACTTCCTGTAATAGAGAATTCACTGTTAACTAGGATTCCAATTCCATGTGTTCAGTCTCCCTACAAATATGAGTCCCCTCTTAGGGATTCTATCAAAAAGCTCTCACTGGTAACAAAAAAGTAATAGAAATACACCATGATAAAATGCCTTTAGTCTGAAGGAGCTAAAGGTATTGAAACCTGCAACAGCAGCTGCAGGTAAAAAATTATCAGAAGTACAGCTAATCTTCAATTCTTGAAGCCACAGTCATTTGAGAGAATATTATTTTCTATTAAAATATAAAACACACAATTATTGATTTTTTTGTGTGTTTCTTACATCTTATATACCACATAAACACACTTATATTTTTAAACTTTCCATTAAAATAAGACTTAGGTGAAACAAGTTAAGGTAGACCAATTAAAAACCTTGTAAGGCCATTAAAAACTTACTATTAGAGAAACAGAAGTTAACAGGAGAGATTATGCACCACGCTTTCACATCTGGGCTTGCAAAAGCAGCTTTTAGAACTCTCGTGCTTCTCTCTGTGTGCTCTTACTGTCAGCCTTTTGATCTGTTTGAAGAGAAATAAGGACAACCACAGAGTCACAAGTGTCACTTGAAGACATAAACATGCTTGGTGATACCCTGGGACTCTAAATAAGAGCAGTGACTTGCTCACAGAGGAAGGTGAGAGGCTCCTTCATCCTGCTGCAAATCCAGTGCACTCCAGGATTCCTGCTTGCACTGGAGCACGTCTGGGGGATCTGGTTCACCACAGGTCACCTGGGAGACAAGAAAGGGACTCTAGAGCAATAAAAAATGCCAAATTAACAAAGTGCTCACAAATTGCTTTGCTGATTCTGGAGAACAGAGCGGATGGGGTTTGTCTGATATCCCCCAAATGTTGCTGCTGCAGTAGTTCTGCCCTTTTCAGTGCAATATGAAAAAAAAAAAAATTATATACAATACTTAGTATGTCGACAAGCCAAAGATTTTTTGTTATTATTTTCTTTTTTTAAATCCATTTATAGTTGCAAATTAATGAAATTACATGAGACTGAAGCCAATGACAACTGCTAATCTGTAAGCAACAACAAGCAAGGAAAAGCTGATAGGAGTACAGCTGTTTTATTTTAATTGAGGAATGATTTTATGTTGGAAGCACTCAATATTCACAGCAAATTAAAAATAATGAAGTGAATTGATACCAATGATATTTTTTTTTACCTACTATCCCTTTGTAAATCTATTTCTTCACACAAATTGACATGTCTAATTGATACATACGCTATTATTCCTCATTAGTAGGCTGAATAAAATAATTCTTGATTAAATTTATTGCAATTTACAATCCAGCATAATGCTTGCAAGCTATAAAAGTCAATCAACAGGAAACAGAAAAAAACCAGATGACATTATTACTTCTTATATATACACAATAATGTCATGTGTTTCGTGGAACCTTCCTAAGCATTTTGTTGGTCCTCAGGAGCTACAGGCTGTCTCCAACAGGTCACTTCATTTTTCATATGGCCATAAATATATTTCACTGCATACATACTTCTGAGTTTTTCTGATAATAATAAGCAAATTTTTTTGGTATTTAGCAATCTGTTAGAAGTTGTCTGGAAGAGTTAGCCTTCTACTAACACTCAAATAAAATTATGCAGAAGAGCTGGTGATTTACTCTGTGTGGATTAGGGTGTTTGATTTATATTGTGTTATCACTGCATCAAAAAAGTTCAACAAGTAGCAAAACTTCAGAATTTCAGTGAAACAAGGAAAGTCAATAGTAAACCTGACAAGCAAAATATATATCCTGTGATTAAAAATTTCCAACCAAAAAGAAAATTGAATCAATGGCAGGTCAGTCTGTTCTTTATAATTTTAACTTATTCCACATCTTGCCCTGGCCTCCACTATTTTGTAGGAATTTTTTTGGTATTCTGAACCTAGCAGAGCAGCTATTATGTTACACTCTTCTCTAATGGCAAGAAAAGTATGTTATGATCAGTCTATTTCTATGGCCTATTGCTCCTATTTCTCTGGAGAATGCCAGCAGCTGGCACAGGATCGCTGCCCTTGCTGATGCTGGGCTTCAGACCTGACAAAGAATTTACCCAAAAATGCAGTATAGTTGCTATAACTACTACAGACACAGAGTAGGTATCCTACTTTTGTCATGTTAACTTAATACAATTTCTTTTTGATGAAGAGCCTCTGATGCCCTGACTGTGTCTCTGCCCTAATTGTAGTCTGTGTCTCAACTTGTCCAGATAGGCAGAAGAAATTGCTCAAAAAATCAGACATTATTGTATAGGACCAGAGGATCAGAATTAAAACCGAAACTGTTTTGGGAATGTTTTCCATTCTTATTACATATCACATTCTTTGTAAGACATTAGATAAAATCTCATTTTAAAAAATTAATTTCTGGTTCAAATTTAACTTCTATTTATAGAACTGAAGAATTAGAAAAGAGAAATACAGAGATCTACAGAGGTAAATGAAATTAAGACCCAGATTCTAAGGGTGTAATATGACAGTCTCCACTGAAAAATAATCTGGATTTTATTCTAGAGCTATTTTAGATCCAAAATTGCATTTTTATACAACATAATTCCAGTAATCAACATTGCTTTTGTTGCTACTTACAAATTTTGATCAAGTCTTTGTAAAAGGTGATATACCTCAATTCAGAAAGACCCCTGACATCTCAAAATCAAATCTCACATTTCAAAAGCTAGAAGGAAGAGGTGCTATCAGCAGCAAACCCAGCCGTTTCAGGATTCATCTACTATTTGATATGTGTTACTCAGCACAGTAAACAACCAATCTGCCAGCGGCAAAAAATCAAAGAGCTCTGTGCCAGCTGAACAGCATCTTTTAAAGAACTGAGGAAGTGGCCCAAAAAAGCAGCCCTTAGAGGCTGGCAGAGGTTTTCTAGTGTTCCTGGGGGACCCTGCCATTTCAGAAAGTGCTGTCACCCAGACCCACCCAGTGCTCCATCAGTGAAATTATCTTTAAGGGTGACCAAAAGAATTCCAACAACAAAACGATCCACAACAGGGTAAAAATAATGAGGAGCTATGGCCTTATTGAAACTGAATTCTAGTGTAAGTACTCCACATACATTTAAAAGGTGACTGAATTCATTAAATCTTTCCAGCCTACTTCTCTGGACAACAGAAAAATCCAGCATGGATATGCAGCTCATCCATTCTGATCCACGGTGCTCTCCTGGTCTGCCCACACCCAGAGATGGTAAAGGAGCCTCAGCTGTGCCAGGCTGTGGAAAAGGAGTCAGAGCAGGGACTGTGACAGCCCCCAGAGCAGCTCAGCTGGTTAGGACAGAGTGCTGAGAACACCCAGGGTGTGAGTTCAAAATATCTCTGTATGGGCCATTCACTTAAGAGTTGGACTTGCTGATCCTTGTGGGTCCCTTCCAGCTCAGAATATTCTGTGCTGGATGTGATGCCCCAGGGGCCAGTTCAGCCACCCCCCTTCCAGCAGCAGAGCCACAAAGCAAAGACCTTTATATTTCAACAGGCATTATCTTGTCATTGCTTTTAATCTAGAAAAACCATATTAAGAAAAACATGATGGCAAAGATTATGATCAGCCTTAAATACACCATTTTCATTCAGCTCCAACAAACTCAATAGGAAGACTATTTCATGAAAGAGCACAACAGATTGAAATTCAATAGTTCAGTTAATCCAAGCATATTGAAATAAAATTATACATATATATATATACACACACGTGTATGTGTGTGCAAAGTGAGGGAGAAGCTACTGCTTTCACATACATAAAATTTCTATTAAAACGCTCAAGTAAGAAATGTACTATCGCAGATCTTTAAAGTTTAAGGGTATTCTGCTCAGAATGCTTCTAGCTGCAAACATAAAAACAAACCAATACATCTATGACAGATCCACAGTTTTAAACCTTAATAACTTGTGAAATTAATAAAAAAAAAATCACTCACTTTATTACATTCATCACCACAGAAGACAAAGGTAGTATCCAGTTGAGTCTATACCAAAAGGAAACACACACACATTAATCTCTGCAATTTGGTACACATTCCAAACACAAGAAGTAACAAATTTGGTGACAAATCTGTCAAAATATGTTCTGCAAATACATTGGCAAGAGATCTGGACATACTAAAGAAATTCAGTGAAACAGAATAGGTGCCAAATGGGGATGTTTGACAGAGTGTTCAAAAATACATTTAGACCAAAGTAGGAACACATCCAACAGAGAGATTCTCTACATAAATTATCATGAAACTATTAGAAATAATTGGCCAGTGATTTCAAAATATTACATATACTTTTAATGTTATCAAAGAGCTGTGTTGTGAACCATGTGTGATTTCTTGGCGATTGAATTTTTGGCCGCACAGCAGAGTTTTTAGGCGCAAGTAAAAATACTATATCCCATACTGTAAGTCAATCTGTACTCTTTGAAATTGCATCAAGCTTCCAAGTGCTTTGAAAGGCTGTTGGGAGAAATACTGTAAAGCCTGGGTACTCTGGGAGGCTGCAGAGCACAGCCCTTGCAGGGGATCTGCTGAACAGATGCAACCCCAAGGCTGCAGAGAGCCCACAAGATGAGGATGTCCCAGCCAGTGTGGTGTCTGTGGCCACAGTGCCCTGAGCCAGCAGGTACCACAAGCCAGGCAAACAGGCACCTGTACATCTCTGCCAGGCTAACAAGAGCAGATTAATTGCTATACAGTGCTGTGTTATAGGCATTTCTCAATAAAATGAAGCCATCTAAATGCTTCCAAATACATCTGTGAATGATGATGACCCCTGCAGAGATACTGCAGGAGCAGCAAGCCCTGCTCTGCGCTCCAGTGGGATGCCTTGGTCACTGGAGGGGGTCAGGGATCTGCCCTGCAGAGCTACCTGTTCACACCATTCACAGGCATAAAATTCAAATCAAAAGTTTTTAAAGGTTCTTGAGAAGCAGAGGTGTTATAACAGAATAAAAGTGAGCAAGTCAAAGCAGACTACCCAGAAAGCAGCCAGGGTGCCAGGGAAGCTTTCTTCAGCCTTGAAGTGCAGCTCAGGTAAATGCTTACATCTTGAACATGCACTGAAATTTATGGAATCTGCTCAGATTTTAAGGCTCAGAGTATCTAGGGTTAAAATCTGGCCTCCCTGAAGTGCATGGAAATATATTCCCTGACTTCACTAGGACCTGTTATAATCTACAAAGGTTTCAACAGTGCACTGATCTGGGTCTCCCATTAGGGCACTGAGCCAAGTGAATTGTATTTGTCATATGTTCAGTCTCCAGAATTTGTGGTCAATTTTTAGGAAAATATTTTTATATACACATTGTGGAATTCCCTCATTATTTTCCTGCATCAAAGAAACACACTCTGAATTTGAGGCAGTACATGGTGAGATTTGTGTTAACTTCTGGCAAGTTCATTCCTTACACTTGAAATCAGCCTGTGAGAAAGTCCTCTCCCCCACAGACAAGCTTCTTCCTACTCTAGATCAATTTTCCTGAGCAACCACAAAGAAAAAGGCACAGATATAACTTAAGTAGCCCATGACTCCATTTATTCCACTGAGATGAGAACTTTCCAGAAAAGTCTCATCCAGTGCTTGCTATCACTTCTCCTTATTCATTCTGACATCTTCAAGGGCTGCCTCCAGCTCCCTACATCCCTCCCCAGTGATGTCCCAACTCCCAGGTGGGCTCCTGTGGGTTTTGGACAGGAGTTCCAAACATTCCAGCTTTGGACCTCATCCTAAAAAATAGATGCCAGCACAGGTAAGGTTTTCTACTTCATATTGCAAACACTGTTTCAGAAGATCGTGGGTTTTACCTAGTAGCTACACCTTTTGGAACAGGTTACAGAGCTTTCAGATAGGCATTTTTTGTTGGACAAATGAATTTACTAAAAAAATTACTATCAGCAAAGTAAGCTGAGTGACCTAAATGGGCATATTTTTCCTGCTGTGTGAGCTCTTTAAATTTAACACTCCTTTAAACAGTATTAACTTTTAAGTTGCCATAAAATCAAATAATTGTATTTATTAATTTGTTTTAATTACCAAGCACAGATAAGCATATGTCCTACTTAGCCTGGGAAAATCTGAACGCACACCTGCTCCAACAAGCAGTCTGTAAAATGAGACGTGAGGAAAATATTTGAATTACATTTCCTTGTTCCAACATACCATTTTTAAAAAGCACTTTCAACACTGAACTAGGCCTTTACAGTTAAGGCATTTTACAAGATGATACTGAGCTATGTTTCCTGTCTATGAAGAAGGCACCAGCATATAAAATGGTAGTGAATTTGCATTACCTCCAATCCATCATTCTTTGAGTGCGCAGGAAAAACTGTGAGACCTGCTGCAACAAAGCACAGCCTTGTGTTGACAGATTCTTATTTAAGTGACTGTGAATACAACAATTCCACAAATAATTTGTCAAGTGTGTGGCTGAACTAGCTCTGAACCCTGATAAATACCAACTCTCCTCACTGCTACAAAGGCATGATGTTCTGTGTGCGGGCAGTGAGTAACAAGCACCAGGATTTAACAATCGATGCTACTATATTTCTCTTTTCTTTGTGGTTAAAAAAGCCTTGAAGGGTGGCTCTTTCAGCAGTGTTAAGTACTAGTGGTGGCTATGCCTTGCAAATCTAAGTAATACACTGCAGGCTGAGGTGAAAGGAAATAGCACACTGCATCCATTTTTAGCTGCATTTAAAACATATGGTTTATGTTCTCTGGTGAAAAACAGTCTTTACTGTATAGTTAGCAGACTCTTGTTTAATACAGGCTATTATTAAATGGACCTCTTTCAAGTTATGATAATAGGACATCTACTTCACTGCTTTTTACAACCTAAGGCGTACATTTGGGCTGGGGTAATTCAAGAGAAGAGTCTCTTTTAGGAAAAATAACTCAAACTCTAGGGGAACACATGTACATATTAATAGGGGGGAAAAACACTCCTTCCAGGTATTCAATTGAAATCAAGATTGCATTTTTCTATCATGCAGTGCATTCTAAAGGCATTATGGATGTACCAGAAAAAAATCATTTTTAAAGAAATGTAAATCTAATCAGTCTTGAAGCTAGCAATATATACATAAATGTCTCTTGCAGACATAATTTAGTATGCATTATTAATTTATTTTTCATAAAGCTTTCCAGCTACAAAAAGGATAAGTGGAAATGTGCACCCACATTGACGATAATGCTCATTTGTCAGGCAGGAGTGAACATATTAACAAATTTCCCACCCCCCCCCGAAATCCCAACCTAAAGAATGTTCAGAAGCTTCTTTGCAGAAAGCCCAGATATGCTTATTGCAAACAACATTATTCCAGGCATTATAATAAAATACCAGCCTTTAATGGGACCTGAACTTCAGCAAGGTATCTGCAAGGCAAAACTGTTACAAACTCTGAATAGCAAAATAGTGTATCCTATAAGTCAATTATATTTACACTTTTGACTGTAAAAATACCAGTGCCTATAGAAATAATTAGATGTGTGAGGCTATTAACCAGTCCTGATGTAAAATGCTAATTATTTATTGTTTATAAAGCAATTTCAAATAAAGCAGAACCCATACACTAGTGCCATCATGATTTTCCAGTCATTAACTTAACCAGAATTTGCATTTTGGGACTATAGCCAGTGACTTACATACGCTACTTAAGTCATTTTTCAAACACTCTGTCCCATCTTAATCTATTCATCATTAATCACATTTGGTCACTTTACATACAGAACACTATTCAGATGAAAGATAAAAGAAATACATTAATAAAATTAAAGCTAGAGTGAATACTTCAAAATATAAAGGTAGTGGATGAATATGGTTATCAAAGCAATTTATATCCCATGCCCATTAAAACAGACTCATCTGAGCAACAGTTACCAGAGTTTTACTATTTCTGGGGAAAAGTGTTCTTAGAAAGCCACCCTCGTACGTCATCCTTCCCAAACATCTCTTGTTGTGCTTACAAAGCAAAGATGCTCCAATTTCATAGGTTATATGAAAGAGGAGGAGAATATATTGGTAGCTGTTTACTTCTCAACACAGCCACAATTTTAGAGCTGTGAGTAATCAAACTTGTGGAACTGGCTTGTAATTACAGGCTCTGTTTATCTGAAAAGATCCAGTGCTCTGACTCCTGAATCTGACTGACCTATTCTACCTTAAATCAATCAAGCCATGGAAGACTTACATCCTCCTTGTGCAGGTCTGCTCAGCCAGGGGCTGGAAAGAACTGAAGGTTTCTTATGGAAGGAGTTTTGTTACCTCTGCCTCACCCCTTTCACCTCAAAACAAAACAAAAAAACCAAAACCCACACAACTCCATCAAATACTGCTCCAGTCCATACACCAATTTCACAGCACTGAAAGGGGCTCTGTGCTGTTTGGTGGCCCTGGGAAATTTTGTGATCTTGGTCCAGTTCTCATAGGATAAGTACCCATTTCATAAATACTCACCAGATTTTAATATCTTACATTTCTGTGGGGAATTGCAGCTGTAAAGGTGTTTTATGCACATGTTTTGGAAACTCCTCCTGAGAGCCAAACCTCAGCCATGGAATTGGTCTGGTAACCTGAAACAGGTACCTTTAATCCAGCCCATGGTGGCTTGGGAAACAGAGATGCAACCTGCATGGAACATTGCCTTGTAATAAAAGTTAATTGCTATCTAACTTGGAGCTTATAAATGTATAATATCCTGAGGATATTTACTTTTTGAAGCAATGAGATCTCATAGAGGAATCAACAGTCATTTCAAGTTCCTGACTTGTCTGTGGGTTTTTTAAATTTATAACCTTAAATATAAAACAGATGTTGATTTTCTTTTAATAATGGAAGAAAACAAATCTTCAGGTACCTATTTTGTATAGGTTTAAAAACACCAATCAAATGCTATTTTTTGTAGATTTCCCATTTTTCAGATTTGAACATGAGATCTAATTAATTAAGAAATCTCTGGGACAGTTTTTAAAACAAGACACTTTTGTT